CGCTGTCGCTCCTGTCCAGCACCAGCTTGTAGCGGTCTTCCTCGGGCTGGAAGCGGAAAACGCACAGAAAACACCATCAGCAGCACCGGGCTCTGCGTTAGCCCGTGGGTTACTGCTTAGAAATAGGGCAAAAATTGGTAAAATGCGATAGAAAAGGGAGGAGAGATGCAGCGTACCGTTAGCGCTCTGCTCTCGGCTGAAGGGCTCTTGCGGGCAGGTTTGGGCTGTGGCAGGGCTGGAACTGCTGGGAGAAAAGATGTTGTTAAGGGGTCGTCGTCTCTAAAATAATTAACGCTCTCCTGACTGCGCTCCCCAATCCCCAACGCCGCTCCGGTCACTAGGCTTGCAGGGATTCCCCAAGGAATCTGTCCCACACATCACGTTAGATGATTTTATTATTCAGGCTCTCTGCACGCAGAGGATTTTACAAGCGAGCGCAGCCCAAATGTGATCTGCCGATCCCGGATGCAGCCACGCGCCGGCGGCGCCATGCAGACACTGCTCTTACCTGCGGGCAGGTGGGTTTTTTGAATGACAGGCTCTGGAATTTTCCAGCAGCCAGTTTCCTCATCCCAGACAGATTCACGCTTGATCTTCTCCAAATTGCTGTAGTTGCAGTCGCGCCGGATGAGGGACTGCACCTGATCCAGCAGCTGCTGGAAGAGCATCAGGTCCCGCTCCAGGCGGCGGATGGTGCCAAGGTAATCAATCTTTTCCAGCTCAAACTCCGACTGCAGATCTTTGATCTCGGTCTCGGCAGCGCGCAGCTGGGATATAAAACTAAAATAAGTCGTTGGGATTATAAAGGAGAGGGACTGCTAGTTGCTGTGAGTACAGGAATTTGTCAGGCAGAGATGGAAAGACACGCACAAAAGCTTCAGCATTTGAGAGGATTTCTAATTTATAACTAAGATGAGATTTGTGTGGAGAGATTATTCTGCGTCCGTTTTAATGAAAGATTTCTTGTGTTCCTCCCAAGTGCTGAGCCTCTGAATAGACCTTAAGTTAATCTTACTAGCGTGGTCTGCGTCCAGTGCTAAGGAACTCTTGGGAGTTCCTAATTTCCACGGGAAAGGTGCAATATTTCTTTGATAACCTAGAGGCAGAAATAAAGCAAGTTCTTAACGTGCAGATTTAGGACTGCACACACAGAGATTTTTTTTTTTTTTTTTTTAAGCTCCTCTGATTCTGCCTCATCGGAGAAAAACTGATTTCCAAGTGTGCTGAAAATTTAAGAGCAGTGCTTTTATAATTTTTTTTTTTTCCCCCTCACAGAAAACTTTTCACAGTGTCATTTCTTCCAGGAAAAGGGAGTAATTTCTCCCACTAGAGGGAGTCGCATCCTCTCCCAACACCAGCCACGCTCCCCAGCCAGTGTGCTGCACGGTGAGGAGACCCACCTTGAAATCAGGTGAGGTTTTGGATTTCAACAACTTAATTCACCACCCCGAGGGCTGCTGTGTCCGATATTTCATCAAAACGCACGCAAACAACCTTACAGGTACTAATGCAGGCACACCTATGAAATATTTCAAGCAGCCAGAGTCATTCTCTAAATGTACCAACCTAAAACACCTCCTTAACCATAAAAAAAAAAGGGGGGGGGGGGGGGAGGGAGGGGGGGAAAGAGAGG